TTAAAGGGACTTAACAACATGAAGAATAGAGTAATCCTATAAGGTAAAGGCAGTTGAGTCAGAGTACCATAGACCCGTCATCCCAAGCTAATAGGACCCAAAATCTACCCAGTTGTGAAGGTAGTCGTCCCAACACGTCCAAAAATCTCTAGTTAGTAATTCATGAATTGCGTCATCCATGAGGACCTCTATAGCCCTAAGGTCAAAAGAATGAAACTCTAGTCCTATGACCTATTAGGTGGAGCTAAAGAGGTGGGACTTACACTTGTCGGAAAGATGGCGGAATTCCCTCAAGAAATAAAGGTAAGAGCAGACACAGTTACAAAGTTATAAATGCTCTCCACAAAAAGACTTAAACTCTATCTGAGTTAGGGAGTCTTCTAACACTTTAAGCGCACTAGACAACCTCCTAAGTAAAAATGTATGTTGGGCCTCTCAAGTTGAAGAAGCTCGGGGGCATCTCCTCGATTCATGCAAATATGGATGCAGTTTATCTATCACAGTCCTAAGAGTGGATGCCCTATTATATGATTTGAGTTATATTCATGTATGCAACCCGTTTAAAATCCTACCCGAAGTTTATGTAGGAAAGTAAAACTATAAATTTCAAAATCATGAATATTTTAATCCTAAATTTTTTTATTTAATTGAAAGTTTTATTAAAATATTATATGAAGTTTAAAATTTTAAATCTTAAAGAGCCTATATTGCATTTGTGATTCTCAGACAAATCACATAAAGAAATAATTCAAGCAAGCAATATGACAGAGAAAACGAGTCAAATCAAAATAATAAGAGATCAATGCCACTATGTCGGTAGCATATCTTAAAAAAGAAAAGAGCGGCCGGACTCCACATATAAATGTCTGGATCTAATTTTATACATCAATTCAAATGCGGAATAAAGATAACAGACACGAGCTACAGGTCCTGATCCCTTGCCACGTGGTTCCCGTGTTAAAATGCTTTGGACCATGCTAAAATGACTATATTATAAGCATGAGTCTTTGTAGAAAAATGTCACAATACACTACTATGCATATCAATCACAAAAGCAGACAAAAACACAAATGATTTTGATGAAATCTTTTTTCGGTGTTCTTTCTATAATACATAGCTAAATTTCTTCTCGCGCCTCCATGACTCATGTGATGTGGCTTTCATGATTTTCTCAAATGATTTCTTTCATTGTATCATTTTTCTGAAGTATTAAAACTTAAATTGGTGTGTTGACCATATAATTTAATTTACTTTTGATCTGGCCAATTACGATGCTAACATATTTCATGATCTGTGACTCATGCCCATTGCTCAGAGGAATAAAATAGTTTAACACAAAATTTGAGTAAAAATAGACATATTTTATTTGGGTTTTGCAACCTAGAAAGAGAATCAGAACAAATCTATGCAATATCATGGGGATTGAGAAAGCCTCAACTTCATGGATTTTAGCCTTCCCTTAACATAGGCATAAGCATAAGGAGGACTGTTTAACTCTTTTGAAAACTATCACGCAGGGGAAAGTCTAGAAAGAACATGAACAAAAATACCTTAATCATAAAGGCGCGAGCCTCATATCTCTTTAAGAACCATAATATTTCTCTATTGATATTTTCTGTGATTTCCAAACCTACCAAAACTTATTTCTGCTTTTAAGTAGGATTATAGAAAATCATATCTTATATGCGATCACGCAAAATAAGATTTAGATATTTAGTAAACTAGAGATTCACCCATCAGAATATTTGTTAGCTCTTTCCTCGTGGGATAGATAAGTGGTACTCTATAACCATATTATTACGTGGCATGTATACTTGCGTGAGGAACCAACTTACTTCATGGTAAGTTTTTGGCTCGTTACTGACCACTACGACTAATGTGACTAACTACAACATACGTGGCATACAACTCATACAATTCTCAACGTTGGCCTAAGCAGCCAACAGACGCCATCACATGCCATCAATATGTCTTGCATGACCATCTACGAACTATGACTCATAGCTCGTGTAGCTCCAAACTCTGACCTCTAAGGCCTACAAACGTCATCTCATCTCATAACTATGACTCATGCAACCAACTATGACTTACATGATTTATAGCTCGCTCAACTCTCATCATTAAGCCTACGTGACTTACAACTCATGCAGCTCTCGACTCCGGGCCCTACAACATACATACGTCATCTCAGCTCACTACTACGGCCAATGTGACCAACTACGACCTACAATGACTACAAATCGTGCAGCTCCCGACTTTGACCTCTGTGGCCTACAGGCGTCATCACAGTTCACCACAATGACTTATGTGACCAACCACAACCAATATGACTCACAACTCTTGCAACTTTTTACTACACTCTTTGTGGCCTACCGACACTCCTAAAACAACTATCTGTAGCCCACATGACAAACTACTACCATGACTTTCAACTACGGTTTGTACGATAAGCTCGCGCTATAGCCCCAATCCATAACCTTTTACGGTGGACTACATTCTCCATAGCAATCGACTACGACTCTTGCAGCTTGATATCATAGAAAATTTTATTCATTACAGTCGGACTACAACTATTATCAATGAACTGTTATTATACATTTACAATAATCATCTTTGTAACTCTATCTTGTCTAATTTATAAGAAGAGTAGACATGTGTACTCATCATTCTTAGTGGATTATTTCAAGTGAGCTAGGCTCCATGGTTGTTTCCCTTTTCTAAGGTTTTCCAAGTAAAAATCAATGTGTCTACTTCTGCTTACTTCTCTTTAACAATCTGAGTATATGTTGGATTTTCGTGTTATACTAATACACTAAATTTATTATTCTACCACCGTGAATTTTTCGGCGCACAACAATTATGTTTTCTTATATCAAAACTATAAAAAAAAAATTATGAATTGATATGGAAAACTTATAAAAAAAGTTTTAGATATTTTTATAATTTTTATTGAATTGTATATATATATTTTTTTCAAATAAGCATGTTAACATATGATGGTCTGTTGCTATTATTTGAATAGTATAAAAATATTGCTTATTGAACGTTTTATAATGGAGGAATTTAAGAATCATAAATATACCTATATTCTCCACCTCTCATTTTATAATAAAAAAACCAAATAAAAAATTAAATGAGACATAAACAACAAATATCATCTATCTTTTTATTTATTATTTGTGTAGTACAATTTTTTTTTTATCTTTTCGAATGTTAAATCATAATTTAACCGTGAGTGAATCAGGAATAGAGCGTAACTAAAGAGAGAAAAATAGATAGAGGAGCGAATATAGGGAGAGAAATTTCTTAGAATACAGTATTTTCATATTAGATTTTTTTCTCATATTATAAATAATGCTTATTACAAATTCATAATTATAACCCTAGTCCTATACACTGATTGGAGATGGCCTACTTGAGTTGGACCGGCCAACTGGAGCTGGCCGACTAGAGCTGGTCGACTGGAGTTGGTTGGCTAGAGCTAGCCGACTAGAGTTTCGTAGAATTCAATGAGTTTTTTCGACAATCTAAACTACAAACGAGAATTTATATCATATATATTATCAAATTATTAAAGGCTAACATACATGTTTTTACGCTTCTATTTGAAGATTTTGTTGTATATGAGCAGAAAAGAAGGTAAATCTTTCAACTCTATTTTTAGAATTTGAAATTAACTTTATATTTTAATTAAATTTCTAAAATTTTATAATATATTATCAACATGCATTTAATATATACGCAATTAAATTATTATTTGGTGCATGCTCAATTATATAAAATCTAAATGAATTCATGTACAAATTCGTAGGATTTCAGGTATCTGAGTTGGGTCAAGCTGGACCACCCCGAACCGAACCGGATTTCTTCAGTGAACCAATGAATGCGAAACCTTTACACCCGGTCTAAAGAGACAAAAACAAGCCGTTTCGGCCCACAGTGTCGTCATTAGGGCTGTCAAAAAAGCTCGTTGTTCGCAAACAGTTCGTGTTCGGTTCGTCAATAAGTTCGTGTTCGATTCGTTCAATAAGTAAACGAGACGAACACGAACAAATTTTTTTCGTTCGGTTTGTTAAACGAACCAAACAGGAACAGTGATGCGTTCGTTCGTGTTCGAATCGTTATTGTTTGAAATATAAAATAATTTAAAATAATTATATATAAAAAATTTATGATATTTTAAAACATTAAATTTTATAAATTATAATATATAATAAATTAATAATAATAATATATTAATATACTATAGTAGTAATATACTAATATAGATATTGTATATTTATATAATATAAGTTATATAATTAATATATAATATTATTTTTATATATTAATATTAGGGATGTCAAACTGGCTAGTCGTTTGCGAACAGCTCGTGTCCGGTTCGTGTTCGACTCGTTCGTTAAGAAACGAACACGAGCTTATTTCAAACAAACTAAATTTTAAACGAATCGAACACGAACACAAGCTTTGTTCGTTCGTGTTCGGTTCGTTTACACCCCTAATCGTCACCTGGCCCATGGTTTGGGCGGTATTATCACCGCATCGTAATTTCACCTCACTTGCTATGTACAACATATCGACGGCGTACACCGGCCATTAAGCCTATAAATCTGCCCATGATAGCGGTAACCCTACTCACTTCATCCCGTGCGACCCATGTAAATAAAGCCGGGAGAAGTAAACGCAAAATAATGAAAATTTTTACCAAAATCATGAAAACAAAATTTATTTACACCCATACCACCCAATTTTTACGTATTTACATATCTGACACCTAAATTTTAATCTCAAACACACGCTACTAACTATATTTTACATTTTAAAAATTAAAATGCAGTTGCTTTGATGTGATATGAAAATTTTAGGTGGTATAAATGTAAAATACAAAATTTAAGTGGAATTAAATGTAAAAATAGGATTTTTGGTTTATGATGTGCAAATTTATAAGATTTATAATTTCTCCGGTAGTCCATCCTCCCCGTTGTAAAACTGCTCTTTTTAAATATTTGGCGTATCAGAACATAGAGCTACTCCCAGCCAAGGAAGGAAGTCCCCTCTCTCTCTCTCTCTCTCCATCTCTGGAAAGAAAAGGACCGATTTTTATAAGCCGCCGGTGATCTCCATGATCATGTAATGAGTTTCTCTCTCCTGTCTCTTAGCCTGTAAAGAAAAACTCACTGTGAAACCGGCGAGGAGAAAGTGAAGCAATTTTGCAAGGCGAAGCCATTGTTGTCAGAAAAATAAGAGAAAGATGACGCCTTTTATTTCATTTTGGTGATCCGATTCTCTGGTTTTGCAAGGATCGCATTGGATTTGTTCCCTTCAGCTTTTCAATCTTTTTGCCCTGAAGAGAAAAAAGAGGCAACTTTGAAGAACTTCAGTCACTCTGCACAAATAATCTCCGTGAAGAACTCCATTAAAAAATCCAGTAAGCTCACAACTTAATCTCTCTCTTTTACAGTTTTACTTCTTTCTGCCTGCTTCTGAATTTTGATTCATCTAAGTTTGCCATCTAAGTTTGCCTCATTGATTGAGATTGAAAAAAAAAAAAAGAGGAGAAAATTAAACCAAAATCTGAATTTTGAGCACCAGAATGAAATTATTTTGGAATTTCATAAATTTATTGGAGCTTAGTCTTTATCTCGAGCAACCAAATGAATCCATTATTGGAAAGATGTGATGAAGACAACTTAATGGGTGAGAGAAAGAAGCAAGCAATTTTTATGTACTCAATTCCATTGTGGTTTCGTTTCCCCTCTTTTAATTGTTTACGTATCTGTTTTTTATTCTTATTTGCAGTTTCTTCTCTGTCTCCCTGATTCCAACAGTACTAAATTTGAAAACCTAGCCGTTGAAAGAAACCCTAACCCTAACCATAACTCTAACCTAATGACTGGTAACCCCTCTCCCTCTGCAAAGCGTTCAAGTCCCATCTCTTCTCTCTTTGTTTCCCCCAAGCTCTGTGTGAGTTTCTCCCCAAAATCTTTCTCTGACTCTGAAGCTATCATGAGCCCAACCTCCATTTTAGAAAGCAAGCTCTTCTCCGCCATTAACAAACCTTTCTCCACCGAAAAAAGCCATAGAAAACCTTACTGTGGCAACGAAGACTCCAGCGCCATAGGTCTCGCTTTAGTTGATTCTCTTACAAAGGAGAACTTGGAGAAGAAAACCTTAAACCGAAACAGCAGAATGGTTCTGTTCGGATCACAGCTTAAGATTCAGATACCCTCTGTAAAAACCAGTTCTTGTTCTTCAGCTGTGTCTGTTGATCAATCTCCTCGCACTCCGATTGAATTCGGAATCAAAAATAAAAATTTGCAACTTGCTCTGCACTCTCCTGCTGCTCTGCAGCCTTCTCCTCCCAGAATTTTTACAGGTCGTCTTTCTCCGAAGGAAATGGAGCTTTCAGAGGACTACACTTGTGTGATCTCTTATGGACCGAATCCGAAAAAAACTCACATCTTTGACAACTGCGTCGTTGAGAGCTGCGAGGAAGGAGACGACTTTGTGAGATGATTAGTGATCTGAGCGCCATTAATGAGATTTCTTGCCATTGTTAAAAGAGCTTTCTTTGCCCAGAGAAGGGATATTTTTCATGTACAGGTAGATTATTGAGAATCTTTTCAGTCTCTGTTTGTTGGGGATTTCTGATTTTGTTCATGATTGATTGGAGTTTTTGCGGACTGGCTGATTGAATCTCGGTTCTGTGGCATATTTTGGTGATTTTTTGAAAATATGATGATTTGAGTGATGCAAATGGTATTTTCTTATGAAATATTATATTATATTTTGAGGACTGTTAACTTGTATGTAAGCTTTTTCCCTCTCTGTTTTTTTTCATTTATAGTGTGAGTTTTCTCTATGTTCGTTTAGATTACATTGGTTGGCAGATGTTATGTGGTATGAATTATTTTTCATTTCATATTAATGTTTAAGGGTTAGATATATAAATACATTAGAATTTTGTGTTATGAAAGTAAATCTTCCATGACTTCATATGACGGCGTGGATTGCATTATGTAGTTGTGCACGATGATATGGTTGCACAGCGATGTGGTGCAATTCATACCATCTCAATGATATATGTAATATTTTCTGGTGACATAAGAGATGAGTGGAGATATAATATATTATCAAATCATGACTTTTATCAATGATTTTCGTTAAGTTTTGTTGCTCCATATATTATATGGGTGAAGTCTTTTATAGCTGGTTTTGTCAGATTTAGAAGTGGTTTGAGATCACTTTTTTGCTTTAATTTTAAAAATAAGTTGAGTTAATTTTAATAATAAAGTTTTTAAATATGTGAACAATATAATAAGTAGATATATTTCTAAAAAGTTGAGCGAAAATAAAAATCTATCCCAAACAAACCCTTAGATAATGTTTGGGATCACTTTCTATTTTATGTTTCTTATTTTTAAAAAATGAAAATGAATGGAAAAATAGTGTTTGTTTATTTATTTTTTAGCTTTTTAGTTTTGTTTATAAAATATACGATGATTGTTTTCAAAACATCAAAAACACAGAAATTGTGTTTTTGATGTTTTTAAATATATATATATATATATATATA